TAACGTATGTTTAATGTAAATAATATATAACGGTATGCATGACCAATATTTAAATACATGACAATATACAAGTTATGTTTTAGCAAGTTCTCTCTAAAGTAACTGTTTACTACTACTATTACTATTACCATAACTGCAGTAGAATCATCGAGGTTTGTTCAATTTACACGTAAAGAGTTAGCGTTTTATCTTCAATCGGTTGGAAATGGATTACAAAATAAAACAACATAAATGACAGCTTCTGGCTGGAAAGAAAAGATGAATATATATATATATTTATATATATATATATATATATATATATATATATATACATGACGACTTGACGACCTCGGTGGTCTAGCGGTCTAGCACATCGCTTTACGTCCGAATTCCTCGCACGGCACAAACATTTGTATTCATGAGTATGATTGTTTGTATCGGTCTGGGTGTTTTCTATGTATGATATGTATGTATTTACGAAAAAAAAATAATATCTATGTACTTGTATCAGTTATCTAGTACCCATAACACAAGCTTTAGATAGCTTAACTTGGGACTAGATGGCGCTGTGTGAATTGTCCTGAGATTATTATTATTATTATTATTATATTTATATATACATATGAAACAAAAAAAAAGCTTGTAAAAACTTGATAAATTTTAATTAATTTATTACACAAGTCACGTCTCATGGTCGCGTCGCGTGTCAGCGCGACCCTCTTCCAGTGAAAGTCGTGGCGTGCAAGCTATTATAAAACTAACAAAAACTGTTACAATTTTCAACGCTTCTCATACATTTGGCTGTATGATTACGGGTAAATATCACACAAGTGGTTACTATGGCAATTAATTGCTGCTGCAAACTATACTAAATGTCAGAGTTCTGTAAATAATAGGAAATCATTTTCTTATGGCATTATTTTTAACTATGTACAATAGAATGTGGTGGTAAAATAGAGTGCGTAGTAACGTTTTGAAGTTCGGTAATGTTTACCTAATTATGTAAACATTATTATATAAGTGACCAAAAATGAAATAATAATTCTTTAGTCGACGTTTCAGAATATATCTCTATAACTTTGATGTCACAATGTTACGCTTAGGTTGCATATTTACCGTCTGTTAAGATTAGATAGAAGAACAGTTATTAAAACATATACATGATGTGAATAGTAACGACTCGCTAGAATTTCACATTATATAGAGTACAAGAAAACAGAATTCAGTAACGAAAGAAAATTATTCCAATATTCCGTTAGTGTAAGTGCCTACACTCAACACATTAAGTACGAGTACATTCCATAACTGAATTATGTTTACAAAGCTGGCTTACACTTACATGTTATTAGCTGTCTGACATAGTACCTACATAGTTTTCTATCTCAGTACATATAAAGTAATAATGTAAAAATTTAACTGTTGCAATTAACAATTAATACGAAAAAACTATTAAATATAATAATATAAGTAGGTAGTTGATAAATACTTTTGAAAACTTAAATTTCAATATTTGTATAAAAATAGTAAATGGCAAAAGAAACAGGAAATCATCCCTAGTCCCGATCCCAGTCGTCGATCGTTGAAATCTTTTGTATGAACACACTAATAAGAATAAAGCCGATGATCGATCGCGCAGGAAAGAGTTCTTTAAATTGTGGCATAATGCTTTATAGTCTATTAAGATTGTGTTTTATTTACTTGCAACTTCATTTGAATAAAATTTGAATAATTGACTTTGGGATTTTTTTTATGATAACCATGATTTTTACATTCTCAAACTGGTGTGAATTAGTCGACGCGCAAATTTAGTTTGTTTAGAGATTTTAAATGTCATTCTTTTTCTTAACTTATCATACAGAGAAAAGATTTTAGTTTTGTATGTAAAGTATACTAAAAATAGTTTTTTTCCATTTGTAGTAAATTACGTTATCTACTAGAAACAAGGACTTTTTCTCGCGGGCAGACACGTGGAATCAGGTTGTATAGTATATAGATTAATAGTAGTCAATGTGTACATATAAATATTCAACAACCAGTCGATGAGTAGGTACGGACCCAACACCTCTCGAACTATCTCTCAAACCTCAAGAACATTATACACTTATATTTGAGAATTTGTTTGAGCGAAGGTGCTAAGTCTGAATTTTACTACTACTGTTCTTATAACAACTGAATCCTGAAATTATGTTCCTATTTAACCATTTATGGTGGTTATATGGTAATAAAGGCTATAATTTAGGTAGGTATATATATTATATGTATATTTATCTATATTGAAAAGTTGTCAGTTAACTTTTTATTTTACATTATACTACCTATCAAATTACATAAGCAAAAAACACAAACTAGAATTCATAATCAGCCGAACTAGTTCTTGTAAACATCTGCAAGTTTAATTCATTTCGTGACATTTCTTATCATTTTGACGTAATGTTCCGACATCCGTGTGTGTCTACACATTATTTATGTAGTCTAGTAAGCTATTTTATTCCAAACTTATTCCACACCATAAACAAATATTTTCCACCATAAGTTAATGGCACATACATTATTTTTTGCCCAAAGGTTGTTTTATAATTTTCTAACTGTGCCCGCGGTTTCACCCGCGTGAAATTTACAGCCTATATGTTATTCTGATGTATAAAGCATGTAGGTACATACTGTAAACTTTCATTAAAATCCATTCATTAGTTTTTGAGTGATAGAGTAACAAATATCCATCCAACTACACTCACAAACTTCCGCATTTCTAATATTATTAAGATATAATTTTCAGCAATTCCATCAGTATGATAGAAAGTCGTTATTCTGAATCGAATAAAGCATACTTCAGTTATGTATTGTAAAATACTATTTAAATATTTGAAATGTAGGTAGGTATGTATACAGTTTATAAGTAAACATTCTCTGTACCATGTCAATCTTAATTTAATCAAACTTTATATGAATGAAAATCTGTCTTAATTTTTAAAATAGACGCTGTTCTAAAACCCATGACACTTGTTTATTTATCTGTTGCTGTAGTATTTGTCAAGAAACCCACTAAACATGAAATCATTATTATATATGGAACGGATCCTTACCACATAAGTAAGTTCAGTGTTATTATTTAGTTTTGATTTATAAATCCTTTTTACTATACTACCCGCAATATAAAATAAACATTTCCAGTCAAAAACATATATATATAGTTATTAGTTATACCTCTTCGTTTTGACGACATTAATGGTATAGTGGTTGAACACATCGCCTTCGATTAATCGCCCGATACAAATATTTGTATTCACGAGTAATTCTTTGCATCTATCTGATTGTTTCTTAATATATATTATCTAAGCATTTACAACAAAATTAATTTAAGTATTTCTAACAGTTATCTAGTACCCATAACACAAACTCTGTTTGACCTGGGGCTTGCTGGCGTTATTTGAATTGCTTTAAATAATTAATTCCATTAATATATCTAAAATGTAGATTTAGAGAAATGATTAAAGATATTTGCTAATGAATTTTAGTTAAATACACACTTTAAATGAAATCTTTTAACATATAGTCATGTAGGTACATGGGTGCTTTACGTAATAGGAGTTGACATTTTCTATATTGCACAAACATGTTTTGAATGGATATGTGTACGATTCGAACGGATGTGTACACACATATATTCGCTATGTGTAACTTACTATATGCAGGCTTAGACAATCCTTAATTCTAAATGAGTTAGAAGACACGATTTATTACTTACTTCATATTTATGAAGATGTAATTATCTATGAAACTGATCTTTTTCTCTGACGAATGGAAATCAAACTCTAACATGTCACTTTTGTGATAAATGAGAAAATTTAATTAAAATATTTAATTAGTTTAAAATATTTGGATGTTTGTTATGCTACTGTATCAATTTTAATTACTCTAAATTATTGATGGGTCTTTAATCATATTTTACATTCATATTTAGTCTGAAATGACATGGGATTCATTTTATCCCAACTTGCAAAGCAACGGATTACAGTTCAGATGATAATAGATTTTGAACAGTCTACCCTGGTGTATTTTTTATTACTCTTTAAACAATTGTCTTTAAAGAAATTTCAATATAGGTAAGAATTAATACACTACATGTGTCTGTTAAGCAGATGTAGTTATAAGCCAGATAGTAATAACGCTAGCTGATATGCAAGCAGGTACATACTCGTGTAATGCTTACCTATTGGAAATCACACCACTTTGTAAACATTATATTTCAAGTGATTAGGGTTATGAGTATTGTGATTTTGTAAATAAACATTCATGTTTCCAAGTTTAATATAAGCATTAACAGCGTTACGGGGACAATCGTTGTTTACAACTTTCTATGGGAACAAGATGCTATTGTTTGCGCCGAGAGAATGCTTATTAAGCCGATAACAGAGAAAACCACATCAATAGATTTACTCAAATACTAACAGCTGACAAAAATTTTAAAGGAAATCGATCGATTTTATTACAAGAAAGTTGAACAGCCTGATGTAGTATTATTATAAATATAGGTAGAAATAAATTAAAAACATCATAGTAAAAGATTACAATTTCCAACAAAATAATCAATTAGATCCAATAAGATTCTTAAGCGATACAAACGATTTAGAATGTAAAGAACCTACATACTTGCGATCTCTAACTTTCTTCTGCAACGGTACAATCTGACGCCTAAATCCATAAAATTTTAGTTAACTCGACAAAACTAATACGACTTTCTTTAAAGAAAACTGCGAGATTCCAAATACTGAGAGCTTCGTGTGATGCACAAGGATGCATGAGATACATAAATGTGTCATAATTCACGGGTAAACACCGCAAGAGGCTACGTGGAACAAAAATATCGAGCTCTCGCTATCGGATGTGGAGCGATGCGCGTGCGACTAAGTATCGATTTAATGAATACCGTGGAAACCGTTAAACAATTGATGATGAATTAAATCACCTGACCAGGCGGTAAACAGGCGGGTCACAGTGTCATGTTAGATGAAATTTACCGTTAAGATCCGCTATGGACGGTGGCTCGTTCAGTCAGTGGTGCTCCTAATCATATCACAAACACAGACACATGCAACGATCACTAAATAATCACTTCACTATTCCACCGATAACAGAAACTCGTGCATTTCGTCCGCCGCGTTTAGTATGGTGTACGGGAGGGCCGCGTCGACTGCGCATAGAAGCAGCAAATGCGGTGGACCGTGAATCTTAACCTACCTGTGTCGAAGCGATTGCGTGTGGCAGTCGGCGGATCAGCAGACCGGTGCGATCGCTTTACCGACAGCGAACACCGCCATGTTTTATAAACACTTACCTGGAAATACTACGTCAACATAATCCACTTGTAAATATTTAAACACCTTTACTTGAGTTTACAAAAGTCGTGCAGAAAATAAATTAACTAAAATTACTGTTTTTAAAAAACAGGACCAAACAATGTATATTTCGGAAATAATATATTGCGTCAAAGCCTTAATCTGTTTTATCAAGCCCACTACTGCCATCTACCGATAACTTGACTTAACTACTTTTTAAAACCATTAAGTTAACAATAAGCTGTGTTTGTAACTACATCAATTTACGTAATTAATCATTATATTTCGAAAGATATTGTTTGTTCAGTAATTCTTTTATATCCTCAAATGTCTTGCAGTGTATTTTTATAATTTAACAGTGAATATTGTTGCTTATAAGCAAAACCGATTGCTAAGCTAATAGCAAACAAAGTTACGATACAATGAATAAGCAGCCAGGTAGATCTAACTAACTCGTATAGATGGCAATGGTTGACATATTTGCAGCCTCATATCAAGAGATGGTGTTTACTTTGTTTCATATCAGGTCCTTCGTCATTCACAGATTAAAAACTAAACCGTTATTAGCTTAGCGTAGTTACAGGCGGTACCGCATCGATCTGAAGTCAATGATCGAAGAAAGCCTGTTGGATGACCTTTTGCGGGACTTCTTTATACTTATTACTAATTACTCGGTAATTCTATTTGGCTTTAACTAACGGTCGTTGCCAGATATGTCCAAGACTCCAAGAGGAGTCTGGTAACCGTTGCTTTTCGACACAAATATATTATTAAGTAAAAGAAATGAAACACGTTAACTATTAATACTCTGAGTTCCCAATCTAAAAATTATACATAAATTTCTAATTCGAACGTCGTCTTATAATATATATATATTTTTAGCTAATATATTACACATATTTCAACGTAATGATATTAGGAGAGCTAGGATTTTTATTAACGGTCAGATTGACCTTCACGCGATTTCCTCTGGAAACCATCGTAGTGATAGTGGTAAAATTTCGATTATGAGTTACAAATACGACTTAAATCTCACCTATCTCCTGGTTCCCCGTCAGCGTATCCCATTAGCATAGGCGTGTACGTCATTCCATTATCATTCATTAATGTTATATTAATATACTTAATTTAATTATCGCACTTCTAGTGTAATAATATGTCTGTTATCCCTACTACCTAATATTTAAATAAAAATACTAATCTTTGACAGGTACAATAATAAAATAGACGTAACTGTCATTTTTATTATATTATAATGTGAAATATTACAACGATATGAATGACGTATTCTACTGAAATACATTTTTATACAACGCTGTAGATACACGTGCACATACATGCACAGTTCATCTTTATAGTGCTATTTAAAACTTCTTTACTAAACACTTAACCAAATTTCGCCTAGTATGTGTTATATACACATGCCAGGCGAAATTTGGTTTGTTATAATTTCTATTAAACATCATATGATATTAGAGTGGAATATATTTTTTATACAAGGAATACGTATATCAATAATATTATAATTTTATAGTCGACTACTATTATAATATGATATTTATTATTCCACGGGAATTATTATTAATGTTTTATTTAATCTCGTTGCCAAACACCTGTGCGGAAATTTGCATAAACCACAACTTTTTTCTAGAACGCTAGGTCATTATATTATATGTAACTGTCTAAGAATAATATTATGAAAAAAATTAGCAAGCTACTAAATTATTATGGAAATTGGATTGATTAGCTATCTGTGTAACACACGGGTTTGAAAGGAAATTGTGGCCTTGTATTCTCAAAATGTTTTTATATAATACGTCAGAAATGGCAAACAACGTCCTAATAATAGAAGGTAAAAACAATTTGATGACGGCCGTGGTTTAGCACACTGCTTTACTTCCGATGGTCGCGGGTTCGATTCCTCGCAAGGTGCAAACATGTGTATTCATGAGCACGATTATTTGTATCGGTCTGGGGATATTCTAAAGCATGTATATTATGTATGTATTTACAAAAAAAACTAAATATTTATATCAGTAGTCTAGTAGGTACCCATAACAAACTCTTACCGTGAGACTAGATGGCGTTGTGTTAATTGTCCAGGATTACTTATTTATTTATTATTACTTCCTATATACGTTATCACTTTCTATCGTCAACTTCATTCGTCAAATGTCGTCGCCAAAAGCGCATTCAAACTATTTAGAAAAAATAAACACTTATCTATAAATAAAAATATTTATGTAGTAGGTACATATTTTCCTATATCCAAGAACGAGTACGTATGGGAATTTAAAGAATATACTAGGATGTCGTCTTTGCCAACAATTCTTTTGATTTCATCTCAGTGCGAGTGCGATGTCGTCGCCAAAAGCGCAGAGACTTTTCGCCTCATCTTAGGATTTCATCATCAGTTGTTAAATGGTTTGCATTCGTGTTGTCCCGAAAAACTTACCATTTGTACGCGGATGATCTTCAGTTATAGCTGTTTTACCTCCTGAATAGTTCATTAACATCTAGTTATAAAAATATTTATGTAGTAGATACATATTATGTGTTCAACATAGCTATACACTATTACTTAATGCTATGCACACTATATTCAATTCTATACGATCCTAATTATCCTGAATACATTAGTAATAAATTTCATTGGGGACAACACCTCATTTCCAACCAAAATCCTCCTTGTCCAATCCTTAGTCCTCCCCACCCTTGATTATGCTGATGTGTGCTGTTCTGACATGAACGTTGATCTTCTAAATAAATTGGATCGTCTTCTGAATAATTCTATCCGTTTCATCTTTAATTTGCGTAAATTCGATCATGTCTCTTCTTTTCGTTCTCAGCTTAAATGGCTCCCTATCCGGAATCTGAATACATTAGTAATAAATTTCATTTCCATGGGGACAACACCAATCGCTCTCTACGAACTTCCAGAAAATTCTTACTTCATACCTTGATATGCAGGAAAAGTAGGTAAGCTCTCTCTCTCTATATTTATATATATATATATATTTTCTTACTTTCAACTTGAGGCTCTACTTATAATTTGATTATCAGATAATTATGTATTTATTTATATATAATATTTATATATTTATGTTTATATTTATACATTTATTTATGTATGTTTATTATTATTATTAATTTTTATTGAAATTTATATTTAAAATATTTTTCTTTGTTCCTGACGGAAGCAGATGTAGAATTGTTCTTTCATTAAAGTTAAATAAATAAAATAAAAAAATGTGTTCAACATGTATGGTGTTGGTTAACATATTAGAAAATGTTGTTGCATATTAGAAAATGTTGTTGCATAAAGTCAATTGGTAATGTATCATGATCAACCGTGTCGTAGTTAATAGGTCCACCACGGTGGTATAGCAGTTTACTTTTCTTCTGATGGTCGCGAGTTCGATTCCTCGCATGGTACAAACATTTTAATGCATGAGTGTGATAGTTTGTATCGGTCTGGGTTTTTTATATATTAGGTATGTATTTGCAAAAAAATCCAAGTATTTGTATTAGTTATCTAGTACCCCAAACCCAAGCTCTGCGTACTTTGGGGTTAGGTAACGTTGTGTGAATTGTCCAGTGGAAAAAAATGTATATAACGAAACAATGCAAACGTAAAGAGCTAGTTTATAATTATTGCTGCGATAAAAATTACTACTGAAGCGGTGGTATCTGTAGTAGTAGATACTGATAAGGGAGAGATATCGAAGGTTTTTGTGAGGAAAACTACAAAGATAATTAAAATGTAACTTGTACGACAGCGATGTTATAATAGATTGTTAGAAAAAAGAATATGTCAAATAAATATGATTACAAAATTTAAAAAATATATAAAATCCATCAAGCAACTCGTTCCAACAACGATGAATAAGAACTATAAAAAATACACATTTTTTTATATTTAGAGGACTATGTAGAAACAAAACAAGATGCAAAAAGGATTTTATCTATATTTTTTCTCTGAAACCCAATAGATTTGAAATATGTTTTAGTAGGTATAGAATGTGGTCTATATATCATTGATGACCCTTGTTAGAAAGAAGTGTGAAACCTAGATTAGGTTTAATAAAAGAGTTTTCTGAAATATGTAGTAAAATTAGTATATACATATTATGCGAATTGTTCGCTGATTATGATTATTCTTTTTGTAGTCTACTCGTTATTTATATCATAATCTAAACACTTTATTTATTTATTAAAACTAATCTTGTAATCAACACCCAACGATAATTAAAGTAAATCAGGTTGGATTTTATTCGAAACTCACCAAACAAGAACTGACCGGACTTAGCAAAGATGTATTTAAATTAACATCTTTACAAAAGTAAACATTAAAGTTTGCCAGTAAATAATGATTAGTGATCATGTTTTGAATATTACCATCACAAGGAAGGTAGGTAGGTACATAAATTAAACATAATATGACTGAAATTTTGTACTGTGACAAAGTTTTTGTGTAGACGAATAAACATTATTATTATTTATATACAGCATACATTAATATCTACTATAGATGAATATATGGTGTGACAAAAAGTTGATGAACAAAAGATGATAGTAGCATAATTATATTACTTATTTTATTCGAACTTTTAGATTTGAGACCCTAAAATTTAAAACAATTCAGCTGGACTGAATAACAAGCCGATATATTCCCATTTAATGCTAACGTGACCTCGCGACTTCAACAAGGTGCCGCAGGGTACATTATATGGTTTTTATGATTATAAAGAATCCTCATTCTCATGTAGAACACCCGAGCCCGCCCGATGCCCTCCGCGGGTGAGGATCATTGCACAAATTTGTCACGGGTTGAAAACCCCTTTTTGTCGAGTACCTGACTCGACAATTCAGATAGAGTTCGCT